TTTACTTTCTTTGTATTTATTTACTTTTTTCAACTTATAACGGGAAATAAGCTGACGGCCTATCTGATGGAAAGTTGTAACCGTCGCCTATAGACATGAACAGTATCATAGACAACAGAGTATACCGTTTCATCCGTAATACCCCCCCCCCCCCCCATGCATTGCCATTTCCGAAGACGAAGGTGTTATGTCTATGTACCTTGTAAATTTAATGTTGAAATATGACATTAAATTTACAAAGTTTATTTACCCTTTAAACCTAAACACAGCCATGCAAATACAACTGCTTCACGGTAAAAACACAAATGGGACAGAGGTACCCAAGCAAACGATTTTTGTACTCACTCATGATATGGTAATCTTGACCAGATGCTGCAGCATCAAGTAATTTACAGGATATCCAACTCCTCAACAACTTACAGCAGATATTGCGTATTTTAACTCATTAGAATAGTATCGAAATGATAGATTATTAACGATAGAGTATTAGATAAAGATCAAGGCCTTTTTTGTGTTGGATTTTTTATTTTTAATAATTTTTTGTTGTTTTAAATTATCTTTCGATAGGGTGAATTTGAAAAGGTTGAGGCAGAGGGTGGTGGTATCAACTGCTGGTGCCAGCTTCAAGTGACACTTTTTTTTATTACCTTTTTTTTTATAGAATATTTTATTACTTTAGAATAAGAAAGTTTTAAAACAGTTTGCAATCTATAACAAGTTTTGAATCATATTTTTTCTCACTTTAACTATTGCATAATATCTATGCATGGGTTTCTTCAAAAGGGGGGTAAAGAGGTTTCTTCAGGGTCGACAACGCACGCGTAATACCTCTTGTATTTCAGTTGTTCATAGGCTACGGTAACCACTTACCATCAGGTGGGCCGTATGCTTATTTGCCACCTCAGTGGTATAAAAAAAAATCTAGCCAACTACCACTAACATTAATCTTTTTTTTTCAGCAGTAAGCAAATTTAATGCATACGTAACATTAGATAAAGTTGAAATGCCAATAAAAAGATTCCTTTACAATGGAAAAACATATGTCTTTCGGGTCCCTATCTGACTTAAACATTATTGGGTCAAATAAAAGGAGTCGCCAATGGGCCTGTTTATGCAAAGTAGGGTAACTATACCTCCAACCCATGTACCTAATCGGGACTGTGAATTTTGCTTTGTATTTGGTGATTTACGATACTCGCTAGGTCAGACATTAGTTTAACTCAGCTCTAGGAGTTAAACTAAGATCGGCTTGAAAAATAATAGAGGGACTATTGTTTTTCAACTAAAAGTAGCCGATTATGGACTAAAAAACTCAGGTGCGAATTGAACTAATAATTATTGTGATTATCATTCGTAATATCTTATCATCATCATCATCATCATTTCAGTCATTATCCGTCCACTGTTGCACATCAGCCTCACCCATAAACTGTGACCAGCCCATTGTCACTTCAGCTTGTTTATCCTTCGGGCTCTGTCGGTTATGTTGGTTCTTTTGCGGATATCCTTGTTTAGGATTCTATCATGCAAAGAGACTCCGTAATATCTTATGTTGAGTCATAACTGTAGTTAAAAACTGTACCGTAAAACTAAGTTTGTTTTTGGTATATTTTTTATTCACACATTTTCCGTAAGTAAAAAAACTACATTTTTTTTTACAACACAGGGGGCAAACGAGCATACGGCTCACCTGATGGTAAATGACTACCGCCGCCCATGATCACCCACAACACCAACGGCATTGCAGGTGTGCTGCCGGCCTTTTAAAAAGGAATATACTCTTTTCTTGAAAGTTATGTTGTCGTATCGGTTCGGAAATACTGCTGCTGGAAGTTGATTCCAAAGAATGGTTGTGCGTGGAAGAAAGTGCCTTGAAAATTGGTTTTAAAATATTAAAAATGAAGCTCTTTAGGTTAAAGATGCTTAGACTATTAGTTCAATTGTCTAGGTGAGGTTTTCTTTGAGGTTATTGATTATCGGATTTTCAAACCATGTATTTTATTTTTTAATTTTACTGTATTTTCGAATTATTATTTAAGTTTATTTTTTTATTTATTCATCATCGTATCAGCTTCTAACTTTCCACTGCTGAATATAAACCTCCCCCTTGGGTGGTTTTGTCAGTATTTGACACGTTTAACAGGTGGATTGGCAACAGCAATTAGGCTTTGAAGATATTTTAAGAGGTACGCAGTTACCCATCCTTCCACCATAAGCTACCTTAGTCGCCTCTTACGACATCCACAAGAAAAGAGGTGTGGTCTATTGTATGCCAGGACTATACGGAAGTATATTTATTGTATTTCATTTATTAAATACAATATATTTGTCAGTAAAAACCCACAGGGATTTGTCTCGAATGATAATTGTGAAAGCGATAAATATACAAAAGGTAATGTATTTTAATATAGCATTAATTAATCAAGGTAATTATTAGGTCAAATTTGGACTACGTGACACTGATAATACTATTGATAACTAGCGGTTTCCCGTGGCTTTGCTTGCTTCTTTAATTCAGGACACAATCTCAGGATAAATATACTATTTTTTTTTATTTGTTCGTCCGTTTAAGCATAATTGTGTAATAAATATCCAATTAGTCATACAAATTTTCATATAAATACACGCACACGCGCAGTTATTAAAAATATACATATATTTTTAAACCAATATTATATTATACATACAAAAAAATCTCAGATCAATACCAATTGCACTTATACTGTATACTCATGAATACAAATACCTTCACTGTGGGGGAATCGAGCCTGTAACCATCGAAATGCGAGGCAGTATTTTAACCATTACATCACCATAACAAGAGAAGCTGTTGAAGACAAAACATGTACAGATAAGGGGAAATAGGGAATTGGTACTTGGTTCGTATTCCCTACATTATAAGGGCCGACTCACATTAGGCGACATAAGCAGAGTATACGCAAAATGTTTTCGCGATAGATATAAATTAATTAATTTATTTAACTCTTTATTGCACCATAAATAAATTAATTATAAATAAAAGCCTTAAAGTGAGATCACTATAGATTATATGAAATATTGTAATATATATGTATGATACATAGCCCTCACGAGGTTAAACGAATGGATTAGTAATTGTATTTATAATCCATTCGTTATAATGTACAATTATAATGTAATTTATAATGTACAAGATTGAATTTTCATACATATATATACGTGAATTTACAGGGTACAGAGGAATAACACCCTAATCCTCGGGAATGGCAACGCATGGGGGTATCATGGGCGAAACAGTGTGTGTGTGTGTGTACTGTTATGTCCATGGTACTGCTCATGTCTATAGGCAACGGTTACCACTTTTCATCAGGTGGGTCGTCAGCTTGTTTGCCATTCTAAGTTGTATAAAGAAAAAACATGTATTTATTTAAATCCATATCTGTGATTACAATTAACAGCTATAGCTTTCATGCATTTAAATCTGCAACAATATTATTTAAGTTATCCCTACAAATTGTTAACAAGCTATAACATATTAACAAATGAAATTAACATGAATTCATCATAAAACTTATACAAAAAAAAACATAGATTAACCGTAAACATTAAATTTTCTAAAATTTCATAAAAGGAAATTTAAGAATCATAAAATCTTAAAATGAAAATGGAAAAGGAGTTTATACAAGAAAAACTGCTGAAAAAGATTGAAACCTTACTGACTGACTGACTGACTGAAAAATATTTCCAGTCTAAATTTCAAAAGGAGACTGCACAGTATTTTAAGTATTTTTTTTTTATTAATTGATCATTTAATTTCATTTAAGAAATTTCGTGAGTGTCCAATACATTTTGTCGCGTAATATTCGAAGGAGCTTATTTTACATCTTTTTATACACGTATCCAGCGGGGTTTTACAAGCGTTCCTAATTAGGCACTTTGTTATTTAGTGTTTATGTGTAGCATAAAATGTGCCAGCATAAATTATGTAGCAATGCTTCGCATAAAGAATGGTCCGCTTGACAGAATGGAGAAAATTTTCAAATAATTATAATACGTTAAATATTGTTACGGGCAATGTGAGTTACTGGGAAGGCGAAGTGTTTATTAACGGGGACTAATAGCCCCATTGCTATCACTAACAATTAATAGATATGAAAGGTTCTTTGTATCCTGCGGCTCCGCTCCCGAGGAGTAGGACACAAAATATCTTGTGTTAAGTTAGGATATAAGATATTGCCACCCAAGATAACAGATAAGAAGTGCTGCGGCATCTTTGCAATCGATTTAAATTTTATTTCATTTGTAATAATTTAATCATAATTCTCATCATTTGTTAATATTATTAATATCTTTATTCATTTAATAACATTTAACAGTTCAATTCTTGTACAAAAATCGATTGCTTGGGTACCTCTGTCCCATTCGTGTTTCAACCGTGAAGCAGTTGTGTTTGTATGGCTGTGTTTCGGTTTGAAGGATGAGATATGGTGTGAATTTACTGGGTACGGAGGAATAACACCTAGTCCACAGGAATGGCAACGCATGGGGGGTATCATGGGCGAAACAGTATACTCTGTTATGTCCATGGTACTGCTCATGTCTATAGGTGACGGTTACCACTTTCCTTCAGGTGGGCCGCCAGCTTGTTTAAAAAACACGTATTTATTTAAATCCATATCTGTAATTACAATTAACATCTACAGCTTTCATGCATTTAAATCTGCAACAATATTATTTAAGTTATCCCTACAAATTGTTAACAAGCTATAACATATTAACAAATGAAATTAACATAAATTCATCATATTTATTAGTCACTGCGTATGCTAACTTGCATTGCTTAGTAAGTGAGAAAATGCATTATTTATTTCATTCATTACTCTTTTTACTCAAATAGTTGTATTTTGATTTACCAAAGGCAGCGATCTACTTTATACATAGCGAAGTTACCTTCAGTACATAGGTGTATTACATTAGTACAGCAAGGGACAATTTCAGTACGGCTTCAGCCTTCGTGCTGAGCGGATGTATATAGTGAGTAGGCGATTTTTCGCTTCAAAGTTTACAATTTAAAACACGCGATGGTATTTTCATTGAAAATAATTAAAATAAATTCGTTTTAGTGGACTCTTGACAGTAAAATATGTTTCTGAATTGTGACGATGTGAAAATAAAGTGCTTATAAGGGAAAAATATTAATTAATTATGTGATTTTTTTTTAAATAATAATAAAAATTCTTCCCTATTTTTATAAATCCAGGGACACCAAAGAGGAGTTTCCTGGATCAGGTAAATATTATTATAAAGCAGTTTCTATTTTTATAAACATTTATTTTATATTTTAATGTGTATATTAAAAAAAATATGTAATATTTAATCTAAATATAAAAAAATCCCATATCACAATATTCATACACTCTAATCTCTGAAACCGCTTAATATTTTTTAATGAATTTTTTTTATAATTATTAAGATCGCTCCAACTAGAGAGACAACACAATTTTTATTCCGATAAAAAATATGTAGTAACTGGCGGTAGAAATAAAAAAGCATAGTCTGTCGGATCAGTTAGTAGTTTAATAAATTTTAAACAACTATGCATCGTGTTCCACAAAAAAAAATCAAATTCAATTGTAACAAAACGAGTTATTTCAATTTAATAAATTCTAAGCAACTGAACCGATTTTGATAAAATTTCTCTAGGATCAATCTGTAATCTAGCCTTTCAGATAGATTTTACAAATTACTAGAGTAATGAAGTAATAAACAAAAAAGACATAAAATCGAATTGAGATCCCATTTCTTTTCAAAGTTGGCTTAAAACCGAAATACAATGATACGTATGTCATCCCAAATTTATAGATATAGCTATCTATAAACTTGGGATGATGCTGTCCGTGGTTTTATTTTTATTAAAATCTTTGTATTTACGAGTATAAGCTAATTAATATTTTGAGTATATTATAGTAACCATATTCCTGGTATAAACAAATTGCAGTGTTTTTTAGACAGTAAAATCTGCTACAATAAATCAGTACTAATTTTGAGTACTTTTTAAATTACTAGTCTGTTATATTTCTTTTATAATACTCTTACCTAGGTTTGTATTGGGTAGTTGTTTGTTGTTCGGTAGCTGTTTGTCCTCGTCCTGATGGTGTCTTACTATCAAACTCTAACAAAATTAATATTAAACAAATAGGTAAAGTAGATACTACCAAATGTAAAAATAATTATCAAACTGGTTTACAATAAGTAACGAAAAAGCGAAATATTAAACACAAAAATTCAAGCGAATAGGGAACCTCTTCTTTTTGAGAAATATTCAGAAGTTTGATTTCTATTGCTATAAAATATTATAATAATCATGAAATAAATTAAAAATGAATCAACCAGTAAATATGTTCACAGTTTCAAATGATGTTTTATGTGGTTTAATTTTATTCGAAAACTTTACCGTGAAGCAGTTTTGTTTCCATGGCTGTATTTTGGTTTGAAGGCATATGACAGTAAATTTACTGGGTACAGAGGAATAACACTTAAGTCCTCAGGAATGGTTATGCATGGGGAGTATCATGGGTGAAACAGTATACTCTGTTATGTCCATGGTACTGCTTATGTCTATAGGCGACGGTTACCACTTTTTATCAGGTTGGCCATCAACCTGTTTGCAATTCTAAGTTGCATAAAAGACTTTAATTTTTCATCGGTTTTAAATTTTTTTATTCATACTTTTCATAGAGCTTTAATTTTTATTTTTAAAATACATAATGCGACCAATTTGTTATCGGAGACGATGTTTTTACAAAGTCATCTGCGTAAACATCTCTAATTTACCAATGTGACTGCTACTAAGTAGCTGTGTTTGTATGACTATTGGAATTTATACTTTTTTAGAGGTCGGTAAAATATCCACGGGTTGTGATAGTTACTTGCTATCGAATGAATCAGTTGATAGCAAGTAATGTAAAGTAAAAGGCACGCTCGTTTGTCGTCCTTTAACAAAAAATAAAAATTCAATTCGTAAAATAAAATATACAGGTTGGTAGTATAACTAGACAAGAGACATAATATAATAGAACTGACGGTTAATTTTACATAACGTGAAAAACTTGCTCGGAAGAGATCACTTGCAAACATAAGGTTTTGCGACCATTGTTTACTTCGAGTGATTTGTTTCTTAGAATTTTTCTTACAATTTATTTTGCTACAATTTTAAAAGAACAATACTTAAAAGATTTTTGAGATGCGTAGATTTAGAGCCTAGTTTAAGAGCATTTATAATAAAATATGATAACGTTGCATTTGTCAATTTTCAAATCAATTTTTTAATTTGCTATATTACTGATAAATTAATTCAAAAATGCTTTAATAACGGACTAAAACGTTAAACGTGCATTAATATATTTATTAAGCTGATGGTGAAAATTTGGATTTTGATGGCAAAAAATTATTTAAAAAATTGCAAAGCAAAATACGAAATAGATGAAAAGTTTTTGTGGTAAATTTATATACAATGTATTTTATGATTAACAGTTTAGTTTGCTCTAAGAGCTCTTATTTAATAATCGATCAGAAACATTGAAAATTATTAAGTTGTTTCTCAAAATCGACGTTATCACGCTTCGTCAAACGTAACTTATGAATGCACTTGTGAGTAAGCCATTTTTTTTTGTCTTATCTTATTGTTAAACATTTTAAGCATATATTCCCAAAATTTTAAGTCGGTCTGAGTAATAAGTATCGTAATTGTAATAAGGTTTGCGTATAGTAATAATAATAATAATAATAATTTTATTTGCTATGATTTTGGATTATAAAACATTTTATCTTATAATTTAAAAGTAGCTTACAAAATCTACTTAATTTAATTTTAAATTTTTTTGTAGCATTTAAATATTAAGAAATGTAATATATATATATATATATATATATATATATATATATATATATATATATATATATATATATATATATATATATATATATATATATAATTATTTTAATCACACTGAAACCTCGTGTTTTGTTCATGACACTGTTTTCGTATCACTTCAATATTAGAATGACGGATTCAGACGTTGACACTGATTCCAATTTTATATTTATGTAAATAACTACTAATTATTACTTACTAATAAAATTTATAGATAAATATTTGCATTACTTACAGCACGCATATAATAATAGAAAATGGGTAAACATACACAAAAATAAAGGGATAAAATAATATATAAACAAAAAAAGGAAAATACATAAAGGAAGTAGCATAATTTTTCCATTCGTACACTTTTTCCTTTTTTAATAAAATTGTAATTAGACGATGTTTGTAGGTACACGGAAGATATTTACAAATATATATTCTTTATGAATAAGAAAAAAAAACGTTTTATAAATCTACTTGTTTGTCTTCCAGTCAACCTTTGGAAAAACAGAAATGTAAATATACGGTGAAAATATGGAAGATTTTGTGGATAAATAGTTACAGATATATCTGTATTGACTCGCAAATTATATAATATATAGAATGAAGAACTATTAGATATTGTGATCATATAAATATACCTGAACACATTACACAAATTTTATTTACATACAGTGCAATAATTTATAGAAGATTTTTCTCCCTTAACTGTAGCTCTGGCATAATGGAAAAATTAATGCACCTAATTGATTGCGATTTTCACAAAAGACAGACAAACAAGAGATAAAATCTTATGCATGTATATATTTGTATGGCTTCAAAAGGAGTAATGTTTTATTTTTTTTATTTCTACCGACTTTGGAAAAGGTGAAGATTCTCAATTCGGTGGTATTTGTTTATGTTTGTTACCTCATATCTCCGTCAGTTATAAACGGATTTCTTTTGCTTTTAAATCTAAATGGAAATAATTTATGATTGGTACGACGGAAATTTTATTAAAATCATTTAATTAGATTAATTTTTACATCAAAATAACTGATTTTGTCACAATCGAAGATTTTTTTTTGTAGATTCTAAAATCTTAAATTATTAATATTATGTCTGTGATAAATATTTTGTATTTGATGGGATCTATGTCGTATTGATTGATATCTAAATTTTTTATACTTTTACCCAAAATGTACAAAAGTGTCCACTCTTTATACGTAATAGATTAAAAGCATTTTAAACTTCCCACTTACTGTCCTACTTAAGATGTTCAGTAAATTCTCCCGACCCAAAGGGTAATTTGGACTTTCAGACTGGAAGGTCGTTGAAATTGAATTCGTCACTCGTTCGAGGACAAGACTTGTGTGCAAAAAGGCATCTTTTTATATGTCTCGTGGAAAAAAAAACATTCATCTTACTTAGACTGGCTTTTAGGGCGGGAAATGTGAGATTCCCTAATTTAGAACCATTTAGATTGAAATTTGATTAGTTTGCCATATAGAAACTGAAAATGTTTTACAAAGACGACATTTGAAGACTATCTTCTTTATATATCTTTTCTTTAATGCAACTTTTAGTGTTGCAGGCGTCCATAGGCTGCAGTGATCGTTTGCCATCAGACAGGCTATATGCTTGTTTGCCAACTTTGTGGTATAAAAAAAACTTAAAATGACAAACAAGCTGACAGCTCACCTAATGAGAAGTGGTAACCATCGTCTATAGACATGAACAATACAATAAACATAACAGAGTATATTGTGTAGCCAATTACATCCCATATGCGTTGCCATTCCTGGAGACTTCATTACCATCCTTTCAAACCAAAACACAAAACGAATTTGAAAAATACTAATATAATATACTAGCTTTTACCCGCGACTTCGTCCGCTTGACCGGGATATATTTGCTGATCAGGATAAAAAGTAGCGATGTCATTCATTATCTTATATAGTAAATGTATTTCAAATTTCATAATGATTGATCAAGCCGTTAAGGTGCTAAAGGATAACAAACAAACAAACTCACTTTCACATTTTTAATATTAGTAAAGATTAAAAGGACAACTGATAATTTGGTAAACATACAAATACAGATCTTGTAGATAGTATATCTTCTTAAATTCTCTTCATCATCGTCATTGTATCAGCCCTTAACGGTCCACTGCTGAACATAAGCCTCCCACTTGGAGGGTTTTGCCAGTAGTTGCTATGCTTGGCAGGCAGATTGGTAACCGCAGTTAGGCTTTAAAAATGTTTTAAGAGGGACACCGCTGCCTAACTCTCGCCCTCCCCTAGTCGCCTCTTACGACACCCACGTGAAAGGAAGAGATGGACTATTCTATGCCAGGACCACACGGACTGAAATTATCTTAGTATTTAAA